CCCTCCAAAAAAAAAAATTAAAAAGAAGGAAAAGAAAAGAAAAAGAGAGAGCCAGAGACAAGCTCCATCGATTTCAAATCCAGGATTTTATCCAGTGCATTGAGGTTTTTTTTTTTTATTTTTATTCCCCTTCTTACCCCCTCCTTGCTTTCACCCCCCACCCCCAACCTCCCCCTTCTCCTCCTACACACCCCTTTTTTTCCTTTTCATTTTATTTTGGATCCTGCTAAAATTAGTCGGGACTGGTCTGGGTGTTGCGTGTTAATTTGATTTACTCCGGGATTCCGGCTTTCCAAGACGCCATTTTCCCCCCTTTCTCGCTCTATCACGTTCTATTTATCTCTCTCTCTATCATTTATCTCCCGAGCTGTCTCTCCGTCTGTCTGTCCGTCCATCTCCCTCTCCCCGGTGCCTTCCTCCTCCCCCCGCCCTCCTCCCTCTGCGCTCTGCGTGCGCTGCGCGGCCGGGCGCTCCCCTCATCCCCATCTGACAGATGAACACCGCCATGGGTTTGCCGCAACACAAGCAAAAGCACCTTTGGGGGCTGTGGCGAGGGATTGAAACCGGGATCTAAAAGAGAAGAGACAAGAAGGGGGGAAATCCGAGGAAGGAGGAGGAGGAGGAGGAAGAAAGAAGAAGAAGAGGAAGCTGCTAAGAAGCCCCCGCTGCCGTTTTGGGGATATGGGTTAGTAAAAGCGAAAAAAAAAAAAAAAGGGCAACAAAAATCCTGAGGCATCGAGGAAAGGTCTGTCTTGATGATCGGGATTGCAGGAGGGTCGTACCCCTCTCTCCTTTTCCTTCCACCCCCCCACTTTTTTTCCCCCTCTGCATGCAAAAGTTAATGTCGTCTCTTTTTTTTTTTTTTTTTTTTTTTTTTTTTCGTGTTGTGACTTTGCAATGGCGCGGAAAAGGCTTTTTTTTTTTTTTTTTTTTTTTTTTTTTTTTTTTGAGGGGGGTGAATATTCCTCCTCAGTGCAATGCACGCGAATCTTCCTCTCCCCTCCGACCCCGTCTCTCCCCACGCTTTGTGCCTGCTTAGGGGTGTGTGTGTCTGTGTGTGGTTGCAGGGGGGTGGTGGTGGTGTGTGTGTGTAAAACCGTGCTACTGGGAAGGGGTTGGAATTTTTTTAGGAGTTTGCATAATGTATTTATTCCCTCTCTTGTGCCCCCCCTCCCGCTTCTGTAGCCTATATGTGTTTATATGTGAAGGTGGCAGCTATGTGTGTGCCTGTGGAAATTGGGGGGACACACACACGACCCCCCCCGCTTCGTAAATTGCAGGTTAAGTGGAGCTAGAGAGCAGCACTGTAACCTTATGGGGATTTTGTGTGTGAGAGTGTGTTCGTGCGAGTGTGTGTGTGCGGGGGGCTCCGCGGCGGTGCCCGGGGGGGGGGTTGGAGTGGGGGGCGCCGCTGCCCCGGGGTGGCCCCGGCTGGTTTTGACATTGAAAAGGACACGCAGCCCCGAAAAGGGGACGATCTGGGGGAACAACGATGTGGGGAGGGGAGTGGGGTAGTAATTAGCAAAGCGGCCCCCCCCGCCCCCGTGTAATACTAGTTCTTAATAAGCTGGTGATTGCCGCCCCCGGGACCCCGGTGGCCCCTTTTCCCCCCCACAACGGGTGGAAGTGGAGTTGAGCTGTGGACGCGCGGAATATCGCCGATATTATCTGGGGGGAAGGTGGTGGTTTGGGGAAGAGGAGGGGGTATAAGGCAGGCGGCAGCCGCGGGCGGCTATTGTCAACCCCAGCCCTGGCGCAAGGCTCCTGCCCAGCGCCGGGCACTCACAGTCGCACTCGCACTATACCCCTTTCTCGCCGGGTTTTCCCGGCGGGCACCGGGAAACAGGGTGTCCCCCCCAACCGCCCTTGTCTCCCGGGGTGTGTGTATGTGCCAGTGTGTGTCAGTGTATGTGTGTGTGTGTGTGTGTGTGTGTGTGTGTGTCAGCGCGAGTGTGTCAGCGTGTTTGCATCCCAACATCCCACCATCCCACCCGGGCACGGCGGTCTCCGCGCTGCCCCTGCCTGCTGTATTTATGTCTCAAAAAAGGCAGTTGAGAGAAGGATTTCCGATTCGTTTCCGCTTCAAATAAACGGCCCCGATAATCCCGGGCCTGACGCCTGATGCTCAAAGGGCACTTGGCCGCCGGGAGCCCAGCCCGGGGAGGCGGGGGGGGACAGGGCACACCCGGCTCGGCCGCCCCGCGGTGGGCAGGTCCCCCAGTCCTCGGGAGGGGTTAATGGGGGGGCTTCAAGCGTGGGGGATGCGCATGGGGGACGCGCGGAGAGAGATGCGAGGGGAGCACCCACCCATTCTGGTACCGAGGGGTGGCGGTGTCCCCGCGGCTGCCGTGAGCCGGGCTAACCCAGCCGGGTCCTGGGAGGAGTAGGAGGACGGAGGGAGGAGGGTAGGGGAGCCTGGCAGCCTGTTGTCCCCGCATACAGAGGTGTTTCATTAGCCACCGGCCCGCGGTGGCCCTGCTCCGTGGTGGAGGGGACCTGCCGTGTGTCCTTCTATATCCGTCTGTCACACGGCAAAGGATGACTGGGGCAAGGGGACTGTGGAACCGGCCAGTGCTCTGCTGTCAAAGAGAGCATCCGAGCCTCCTGGAATTGATGGAATTGTTCCAGGAGGAAAGGGTTGCTGGCAAATCCGGTCCTGTGTGGAATATTATGGGCCCAAATGGGAACAATTACTGATTTGACAGCCCCTGCATCCAGGAGTAACTTGGTGCAGGCTACAGGAATGGTATAATCAGGTGTCTAGTGACAGGCAGTGACAGCATGAACTTCAGGAAACAAGTGGACCTTTCATTGTAGACAGCAAAAAAATATGCCTATCAGGGAATTGTAGAATCACAAAATGATTTGGTTGGAAGGGACATTAAAGCTCATCTTGTTACAGCTCCCCTGCCATCTCATTCCAAACCCCCCACCCCGCCAAGGCAGAGACACCTTCCACTAGACCAGGTTGCTGCAAGCCCTGTCCAGCCTGGTCTTGAACACTTCCAAGGATGGGGCATGTTCATGGGGAAATGTGCAAGTGGCTGCTTCATGCACAGCTTTCTGCACTTCTTTGGCCTTTCCCGAGATTACTCCCCTCGTCAGAAGCTCCTTCCACTCAAAGGAGAAACTTTTTTTCATCTCCGTTTTTTTTTAGCCGAGAGGAGAAAAACCCTTCCACACAATAGAGTTGTACTTTAATCTCTGCTCTTAGCTCAGAAAGGTTATGTAAAAAGGGGAGGGGGGGGAAGCAGAAACACTCAGTGAATGGAGACTTCTCTTCCATCTCTTATTGGCTTCAACTGTTTTTTTTTTAACTTCTCAGACTCAAAGTTTTAATTGAAACCAGAAGTCTATTGAGAAGTAACTGAGCCAAGAAAACCTCTGTTTTCTCTGCAACTAGGGATGGGGAATAAATAATTTTTAGCTGATGTTATTTCAAGTTGTTTGAGCTTTTTGATTCCTGCCAAAAAGCCCAGCATAGATTATTAACACATTATCATTTTAGGAGGACGCGCTCTTTGAAATGCAATAAAATGGTGTGTTAGGTTTGTGCAGAGCCATAAACTATGCTAGTTGTTGGCAAAAAAAAAGAAACAGTGGCCATGATTTATTATTAATAATGATCTTAACTGAGCTATTTAGTTCAATTTGATATTTACTGTGTTTCTCTACTGAGGTTGCTCAGTATTGTTTCCAGTGTACTTTGATTAAGTTGGGAACTGTTCTTGTTTAACAACCTCTATTGCCGTGTGCTTAATTAACTCAGGGAGTTAAATGCTTAAAAAGGTTCAACAATCATTTTTTGGCTTCTGATGCTGCCTAATCTCCTCTTATGCTCTTTTTTGACCCATCCTTTGAGCTGCTTTTTCCCAGCACACACATCTCTTAGGTGCAAGTGCCAGCTTACCAACAGGACTCTTGTTTTCCATTACAAGATTTGTCTAATCCCAGTTTCAGTGACTTTTTTTTGCCCTCTCAGTAGGGCTCAATTGCTCACACATAATCTTTCCCTTCTGTTTTCTTTCCCCTTTGGACAACACCCTCCAGGACTGAAAAACTCTTGCCTTGTGCCCTGAGACTTGCAATTACACAGCAATTTTGACTCTTGACCCAACTAGTAGCAAGAAAGGCTATTGTCTAATGAACCACGTAAAAACAGTTCTGGGATCCAACAATTGCTGTGATGGAAATGAAAGCTGTCCCACTGAACTGATGACTGATTTGCTTAACCATATGCCTAGGCGGTTTTCCTTGCTCCCCAGTAACTACCCATCTCTGGAGGATCTGTGATCTGTTGGTCTGTGATGACGTTGAAAGGCAGCACTAATAACTGCCAAAATGTGCTCCATGGAGCACGTAGGGCCAGGTTTTAAGCCATGTTGAGAAAATGGGGAATTTTATTTTTGCCCACCATAACGCGCAGGCACGCGGGGTTTTGGACGTGTAACTGCTGTGATTTCAGTACAGGTTTTGGTGATGAGACAAGGGCAAAACTGTGCACAAATATCAGAATCATAGAGTCGTGGAGTGGTTTGTGTTGGAAGGGACCTTAAAGCTCATCTTGTTCCAACCCCCTGCCAAGGGCAGGGACACCTTCCACCAGAACTGGCTGCTCCAAGCCTTGTCCAACCTGGCCTTGAACACTTCCAGGGATAGGGCAGCCACAATTTATCTGGGCAATCTGTTGCAGAGCCTCACCACTCTCACAGCCAAGATTTTTTTCCTAATATAGTTGACCTATAAATTATAGATGGTCAGATGAAATCCATGGTAAGATCTAGCCTCACTGCTGAGGAGTTCAGACACTCTTAGGGCAGCACCAATCCAAGGATCAGAGCTAGTCCAAAGCCTAGAGAGAAAGGCAAGAGTTTGTGGGACAATCTTAATGGAGAAGGTTCCCAGTGTTGTGCTGCAGGGCTTGTGGTTTCTATTAGGACTGGTTTTGCTGCTATTATAGGTGTTCTGTTCTCACTAGTTTCTCTCTTTCCAACTCAATTAAAAAAAAAGAGTTTCCTCTTCCGTTATTCTTGTTGAGGAAATAAAATTACTTACGCTTTTAGGAAATTGTCATCTTGATTAAAGATGCACTTTAAAATCCCTCAATTCCGTGTTTTAGCCTGGGGGGACTTAAAGATCTGAAAGCGATTTCCAAACTTTCAAGGTTGGGACTGCTCTGCCTTCTGATAAGGGCATGAAATCAGGTTGGAAGTGTGCATGGTTAGCAACACTTAGAGACTGTTTCTTTCTCCTTTCCCCAGTGTGAAGGCTTCACTTGATGTGGTTGCAAAAGTCCATTGCATTTTTGGACCTGTTTAACAGTGTGCTTTATGCTGGGACCAAGCACAGCTCTGCAACAGGCACCTGGATTCTGAATTTACATTTAACTGGTCATACAGAGTACAAAGTGAGAGAGATAAAGAGCTGGGGGAGAAAAGGAAGACAAAATAATTTCTTAAATTGAATAAAATCAGTCAGAGAATAATACACCTTGTCTTTCAGAGCTGAGGAAATGTGTGAAGGAAGTAGTGGGTGCTAATTTCTGTTAATCAGCTCTTGAGGGAGTGCAAAGTTAGGGACTATTTCGCTCTTTTGGAGTTGGATTTACTTTGGAGGACACACTGTCCAAATGCAGTGATGAGCTGTGGGATGACTGGGTATGAAAAGCAATCTTCTGACATTATT